CACACACACACACACACACACACACACACACCAAACAGTAGAAGGCCCAGGCAGGAGTACGAGGACAGCAACAAGACATGTATGGATGAACTGCAGAGGGCAGCAACTTTAGCGCATAGAATGAGAGCGAAGCTGCTGGTCATGGGGGACCTAAATCACGGAGAGATAGATTGGGAAACGAGGAATCCCCATGGCGGGGAGGAGACCTGGGGAGCGAAGCTGGTAGACGTTATTGACAGGAATTTCCTAACACAGCATGTGAAAGAAGATACTAGGGAAAGAGGAGGGGATACGCCCAGCCTATTAGATCTCATTATCACTCAGAATGTAGAAGACATCGAGCAGTTGGAACATGAAATACCACTAGGAGCTAGTGACCATTGTGTCCTAGTCTTTGACTACATGATGGAGCTTAAAATTGTGACCAAAGGACAAGAGGTCCGGGAAAGGAGACTTGATTACAGAAAAGGGGACTACAGAAGGATAAGGGACTACCTGGGAGAAGTGCAGTGGGAGGAAGAACTTAGAGGAAAAACAGTGCAAGGTATGATGAACCAAGTCATATTGAAATGCAAGGAGGCTGAAGATAGATTTATTCCAACAATAAAGGAAAAAAGCAGGAGGGAATATAATAACCCATGGTTTAATAGACAGTGTCAGGAAGCAAAGGTGAGAAGCAGGAGGGAGTGGAGGAAGTACAGAAGACAAAGGACAGAGGACAACAGGATTAGATGTAACAGAGCTAGGAATGATTACATTAACATAAGACGAGTGTCGGAAAGAAATTATGAGAACGATATTGCAGTCAAAGCGAAAAAGCAACCAAAATTACTACATAGCCATATAAGAAGGAAGATGTCGGTAAATGACCAAGTGACAAGACTGAGGAAAACAGAAGGGGCATATACAGAAAGCGACAAGGAAATCTGCGAGGTACTGAATGCAAAATTCCATGGAGTGTTCACAACCGAGCCTGAGCAGCTCCCATTGTTAGAAGAGATTACCCAAGATGAAAGACTATCAGATATAGAGGTGACAGCAGAGGATGTAATGAAACAGTTGACAACACTGGATGCAAATAAAGCTGTTGGACCAGACAAAGTATCACCGTGGATACTTAAAGAGGCAGCGCAGGCTCTCAGCGTGCCTCTGGCAATGATCTTTAATGAGTCACTTATGTCGGGAGAATTGCCCAGTTGCTGGAAGGAGGCAAATGTCGTACCGATTTTCAAAAAAGGTGATAGGGAGGAGGCACTTAACTACAGACCCGTATCACTGACAAGCATCCCCTGCAAAATACTTGAAAGAATAATTAGGCTAAGACTTGTTGAGCACCTGGAGAGCATTGGGTTTGTAAACAAGCACCAACATGGGTTCTGGACAGGGAAATCATGCCTAACAAACCTTTTAGAATTCTATGATAAAGTAACAAGGATAAGGCAGGACAGAGAAGGCTGGGCAGACTGCATATTTCTTGACTGCCAAAAGGCCTTTGATACGGTACCGCACATGAGACTGCTATACAAACTTGAGAGGCAGGCAGGAGTAAGCGGAAAGGCCCTAGTATGGGTGAAGAACTACCTAACAGGAAGGAGCCAGAGGGTAATGGTAAGGGGCGAAAAGTCGGACTGGCGAACAGTAACAAGTGGAGTACCTCAAGGATCGGTGCTGGGACCAATCCTCTTTCTAATTTACGTAAATGATATGTTTACAGGAGTGGAATCATACATGTCAATGTTTGCAGATGACGCAAAATTAATGAGAAGAGTTGTGACAGACGAGGATTGTAGGATCCTCCAAGAGGACTTAAACAGGCTGCAGAGATGGTCAGGGAAATGGCTACTGGAGTTTAACACCAGTAAATGTAAAGTTATGGAAATGGGATCAGGTGACAGGAGACCAAAGGGACAGTACACAATGAAGGGGAACAGCCTACCTGTAACGATTCGAGAAAGAGACCTGGGAGTGGATGTGACACCTAATCTAACTCCTGAGGCACATATAAATAGGATAACGACAGCAGCGTACTCTACACTGGCGAAAATTAGAACTTCATTCAGAAACCTAAATGAGGAAGCTTTTAGGGCGCTTTACACTGCCTACGTGAGACCCGTCTTAGAGTATGCCGCGCCATCATGGAGCCCCCACCTGAAGAAACACATAAAGAAACTGGAGAAGGTTCAGAGGTTTGCGACGAGGCTTGTCCCAGAGTTACGAGGGATGGGATATGAAGAGCGGCTGAAGGAACTGAACCTTACGACACTAGAGAAAAGAAGGGAGAGAGGAGATATGATAGGGACATATAAAATACTCAGGGGAATTGACAAAGTGGAAATAGATGAAATGTTCACACGTAATAATAACAGAACGAGGGGACATGGGTGGAAACTGGAAACTCAGATGAGTCACAGAGATGTTAGGAAGTTTTCTTTTAGCGTGAGAGTAGTAGAAAAATGGAATGCACTTGGGGAACAGGTTGTGGAAGCAAATACTATTCATACTTTTAAAACTAGGTATGATAGGGAAATGGGACAGGAGTCATTGCTGTAAACAACCGATAGCTGGAAAGGCGGGATCCAAGAGTCAATGCTCGATCCTGCAAGCACATATAGGTGAGTACACACACACACACACACACACACACACACACACACACACACACACACACACACACACACACACACACACACACACACACACACACACACACACACACACACACACACACACACACACACACACACACACACACACACACACACACTCACGCACACACACACACACACACACACACACACACACACACACACACACACACACAACATAAATAAATTCTGGGAAAATCTGAATTCGAACCAGCACGAGGCAAGCAACCCTCTGGAAACAGGGGTATGAAGCGGAAGGAGCTCCCTCCAGAGAGACCCGTGTATGCAGAACTGCTGCAAGTAACCCAAGTGCCAAGGCTGCTATAGAGGAAGCAGCTATGGAAGCGGTTACATCCCGGGAAGTTGCAAAGTGCACGACTCAAATGCTGGAAAGAGAAGGACCGAGCTATGTCGACAAAGATCTTGGAGGGCCTGGATATGGCAGGAGGCTAATAGCAACATAGTGAAGATTTTCCGGCTGGGCATTTATAAGAAGGAAAGGAAACGACTAATAAAGTTAGTAGTTACAAACGAGGTAACGAAAGAGGAAATCCTGTCAAGGAAGAGCAAGCTTATGAGACTAGAGGGATACAAGGATGTTTTTCTGCAGAGGGACATGACGAGGGAAGAGATAATGAAGGCTGTCGAAGCAAGTAGATGCAAGGGGAGAGATGGGAACAGCGGAGCCACAGGAATTGGTGCAGTACCTCCAGTAAACTCAAAGGGGAGTGGGAATTCCCTCACCAGCAAGCCATCATCCGCAGGGAGGAATATAACAGAAACCTCCCGCCATCCCACCCCACGATCATTCCCCTCCCCTAATCACCTGCCCCCCCCCCTACCAGTAGAGACCCTTCCCAGCCTATGTCACCCCAGCTCCCCAACCCCCATACCCCCCCTCATGTTTTCCTCCAGGCCCTCCTTCTTCACCACCCCAGGCCCCCCCCCCCTCCCTCCACAACCCCCAGACCTCCCGGCCCACCTTCTCAAGGCTCCCCTTCATTCTCCAACCAATGACCCCCGTTCTCCCCCTTCCACAGACCCCTCCTGCTCCCCCATCCTGAGCCTTAATAGACCCCCAACCCCAAGACCCTCTCAGCTCACCCATCTCAGACCCTCCTAGCTTCCCAACACCGGATCCTCCCAGCCCCCTCTCATCCCTGATCCCCCAAGTCCTCCCTCCTAGGGCCTCCCACCCCAGACACCCCATGCCCCCTACCCCAGGGGAATTAACAGAAACTGAGGATGAACTGAATAGTCAGTTTGAAGGTAATGTACTCGAACATAGATGGGATTACAAGCGAGGCAAGTGAACTTGGAGAAAGAGCACAAGAAGTAAACCTGGATGTAATTGGACTCACAGAAACAAAACTCTCAGAAATCATAACAAATGCGGTGTTTCCCCAGAACTACACTATAATAATGAAAGAGAGGGAAGGATGGGGGTGAAGGTGGAGTGGCCCTACTGATAAGAAAAGAATGGAGTTTCAAGGAGATGGTTATCCCGGGCTGCGAGATGTTTAGAGACTACATTACAGGCACCATGACGATGGGTGGACCAAGAGTAGTAGCAGCAGTAATATACAACCCTCCACCAAACGACATTAGACCCAGGCAAGAGTATGACAGAAACAACATGGCAGTTAACACTATAATTGAGAGGGCAGCCTCTGCTGCCTGTAGAAATAGATCCCACCTGCTCATCATGGGCGACTTCAATCACGGATAGACTGGGAGAACAAGGAACCGAATGGAGGTGAGGATACATGGAGAGCTAAACTATTGGAGGTGACGACAAGAAACTTTTTAAGTCAGCATGTCGAGGGAAACTATGAGGAGACAAGAAAATTCCTAACAGATATAACATGGGAAACAGAGCTCAGGGGAAAGACGGCCCAAGACATGATGGACTACATCACGCAGAAGTGTAAGGACGCAGCAGACAAGTTCGTCCCGGTCCATAAGGAAAATAACGAAATACAAATGAGAAACCCATGGTTTAATCAGAGATGTAGGCTAGCTAAGCAGCAAAGTAAAAGGGCATGGAGAAACTATAGGAATAACAGGACACTGGAGAGCAGAGAGAGATACCAGAATGCCAGGAATGAATATGTCAGGATGAGAAGAGAGGCAGAAAGACAATACGAAATAGACATCACAAGCAAGGCAAAGACTCAACCTAAATTGGTGCACAGCCACATCAGGAGAAGAATAACAGTGAAGGAACAGGTAATGAAACCGAGGACTCTCCATCACCCACACAATGAATCAAAGATGCTACACTCACCTTGTGGTGTGGTTGTGGTTCACGCCGCCTCAAACAGCTCGGTAGATCCAGCAAGATGACGCTTCCAGATGTTTATAAGAAGTCCCAAGTCTCTACGACATCGTACGTCCAGCAGAAGGCTCAACGCACTTCATACGATCCGAGATGAAGGGCTTGCGAGGACGCAAGAACGAGTCTACCTGCACGACACGCTTCGTGCGCTCGAAACCCCGCTCGGGAAGTCTTGGGTGAGTCTTGGGTAAGTCTTAGGTAAGTCTCGGGTAAGTCTCAGGTGAGCGGGTGAGGTTGATCATCCGCCAGACGACCCATTTGCACGCTAACGACCCGTGGAGAGCAGTTCCCAGGTGTTCCTTGATGGTCTAAACAACAGGGGCCTCCACAGGGGGCCCTCTTCCTCCTCCTCCTTCTCTTTCCTGGACGTCTGCAGGAGACACCAGATCTTCCTGGACGTCTGCTGGAGGAACCAGATCTTCCTGGACGTCTGCAGGAGACACCAGATCTTCCTGGACGTCTGCTGGAGGAACCAGATCTTCCTGGACGTCTGCAGGAGACACCAGATCTTCCTGGACGTCTGCTGGAGGAACCAGATCTTCCTGGACGTCTGCAGGAGACACCAGATCTTCCTGGACGTCTGTTGGAGGAACCAGATCTTCTTGGACGTCTGCAGGAGACACCAGATCTTCCTGGACGTCTGCTGGAGGAACCAGATCTTCCTGGACGTCTGCAGGAGACACCAGATCTTCCTGGACGTCTGCAGGAGGCACCGGATCTTCCTGGACGTCTGCAGGAGACACCAGATCTTCCTGGACGTCTGCAGGAGGCACCGGATCTTCCTGGACGTCTGCTGGAGGCACCAGATCTTCCTGGACTTCACCAGGCGTCAGACCTTCTCTCGTGTGGTGAAGTGCTTGGCCGAGCAGTCAGTGATCACCGCTGACGAGCGGCTTGGCCGAGCAGTCAGTGACCACCGCTGACGAGCGGCTTGGCCGAGCAGTCAGTGATCACCGCTGACGAGCGGCTTGGCCGAGCAGTCAGTGACCACCGCTGACGAGCGGCTTGGCCGAGCAGTCAGTGATCACCGCTGACGAGCGGCTTGGCCGAGCAGTCAGTGACCACCGCTGACGAGCGGCTTGGCCGAGCAGTCAGTGATCACCGCTGACGGACAACTTGGCCGAGCAGTCAATTCCATTCACACAAAATACATTTCCAGTCAACGTCAATAAAGCGGAGTCGTGAGAAGAGGTTTAAACAGGACTTGACCCCCAATCACTGCACCTGTGGGGTCCTGTACCCCCCCCCCGGGCTCCTGTATACTGTATTCTACAGCTGTATCCCTCACCCACACCACGCTGTCAAGGCTCACGCTGTCAAGGCTCGGGGCAACACAGTGTTTGGTTCACTTAGTTGTCAACTGTTGCAAACTTCTCCTTTGGGCTTAAATTAGCCTGACAATTGCTTAAGTAATTCACTCTTATTCACACATATGTATTTTTACTCACATATATTTTCAGTCACATATATTTTCATTCACATATATTTTCAGTCACATATTTTGAGTCACATATATTTTCAGTCATATATATTTTAGGTCACATATTTTGAGTAATATATATATTTTCAGTCACATATATTTACATTCATATATATTTCAGTCACATATATATATATATATATATATATTCAGTCACATATATTTTCAGTTACATATATGTTAAGTTACATATATTTGGAGTCATATATATATTTTCAGTCACATATATTTTCAGTTACATATATGTTAAGTCACATATATTTTGAGTCATATATATATTTTCAGTCACATATTCACAGGTGATGGAGCAATTATTGGGAACATTTACCAGAGTTCAGCTAAATATTTGACTTATATTTTCCATGTTGACATTTTTTTTTGAAGTGAGTGTTTGTTAGTCTTCAGTGTGTGTTGTGAGGGCGTTGTGAGGGCGTTGTGAGGTGAGTATGATGAGGTGGTGACTCATGAGTGCCTCACAGGAGCACTCGTCACAGGAGTGAGGTCCACAGGAGCTCGACAGGGCCGCCCCCAGCACCCAGGCACCATTCATCTCCTGCAGGAGTCGATGTGATGCCCCAAAACAGTTTGGCACTGTCCCAGAACGAGCGGTGAGGCAGTTGGCCGGCCTGCCTGGTGCCCGGGGCCTAGGCCTACACGCCACCAGGAAGCTTTCATTGACCAAACTGCTTAGCGGGAGGTGTGGGGGACGAGGGAGTAGTTTGGTAGTTAGGAGCAGCAACGCGCACGTCCGCCCTCCTCCACTGCCAGCGGCACACTGGCACCTCCACCACACTGGCACTAACACTCCCACGGTGGCCCCGGCCTCCTCCACCACACTGGCACTCCCATGGTGGCCCCGGCCTCCTCCACCACACTGGCACTCCCATGGTGGCCCCGGCCTCCTCCACCTCACTGGCACTCCCATGGTGGCCCCGGCCTCCTCCACCTCACTGGCACTCCCATGGTGGCCCCGGCCTCCTCGACCACACTGGCACTCCCATGGTGGCCCCCGGCCTCCTCCACCACACTGTCACTCCCATGGTGGCCCCGGCCTCCTCCACCACACTGTCACTCCCATGGTGGCCCCCGGCATCCTTCACCACACTGGCACTCCCATGGTGGCCCCGGCCTCCTCGACCACACTGGCACTCCCATGGTGGCCCCCGGCCTCCTCCACCACACTGGCACTCCCATGGTGGCCCCCGGCATCCTTCACCACACTGGCACTCCCATGGTGGCCCCGGCCTCCTCGACCACACTGGCACTCCCATGGTGGCCCCGGCCTCCTCCACCACACTGGCACTCCCATGGTGGCCCCCGGCCTCCTTCACCACACTGGCACTCCCATGGTGGCCCCGGCCTCCTCCACCACACTGGCACTCCCATGGTGGCCCCCGGCCTCCTCCACCACACTGGCACTCCCATGGTAGCCCCCGGCCTCCTCCACCACACTGGCACTCAAACTCCCATGGTGGCCCCCCGCCTCCTCCACCACACTTACACTCCCATGGTGGCCCCGGCCTCCTCCACTACACTAGCACTCCCATGGTGGCCCCGGCCTCCTCCACCACACTGGCACTCCCATAGTGGCCCCGGCCTCCTCCACTACACTAGCACTCCCATGGTGGCCCCCGGCCTCTTCCACCACACTGGCACTCCCATGGTGGCCCCCGGCCTCCTCCACCACTCTGGCACTCCCATGGTGGCCCCGGCCTCCTCCACCACACTGGCACTCCCATGCTGGCCCCGGCCTCCTCCACCACACTGGCACTCCCATGGTGGCCCCGGCCTCCTCCACCACACTGGCACTCCCATGGTAGCCCCCGGCCTCCTTCACCACACTGGCACTCCCATGGTGGCCCCGGCCTCCTCCACCACACTGGCACTCCCATGGTGGCCCCCGGCCTCCTCCACCACACTGGCACTCCCATGGTGGCCCCGACCTCCTCCACTATCTCCACCACAGTCACACTCCCATGGTAACTGTTGTAGGGACCCCCGGCCTCCACCACTCTCTCCACCACAGTCACACTCCCATGGTAACTGTTGTAGGGGCCCCCGGCCTTCTCCACCACTCTCTACACAGCAGTCACACTCCCATGGTAACTGTTGTAGGGGCCCCAGGCGTCCTCCAACACTCTCTCCACCACAGTCAAACTCCCATGGTGACTGATGTAGGGGTCCCCGGCCTCCTCCACCACTCTCTCCACCACACTGACACTCCCATGGTGACTGTTGTAGGACCCCTGGCCTCCTCCACCACTCTCTCCACCACAGTCAAACTCCCATGGTGCTGTTGAAGGGGCCCCCGGCCTCCTCCACCACTCTCTCCACCACACTGACACTCCCATGGTGACTGTTGTAGGGTCCCCGGCCTCCTCCACCACTCTCTCCACCACACTGACACTCCCATGGTGACTGTTGTAGGGGCCCCGGCCTCCTCCACCACTCTCTCCACCACACTGACACTCCCATGGTGACTGTTGTAGGGCCCCTGGCCTCCTCCACCACTCTCTCCACCACACTGACACTCCCATGGTGACTGTTGTAGGGGCCCCGGCCTCCTCCACCACTCTCTCCACCACACTGACACTCCCATGGTGACTGTTGTAGGGCCCCCGGCCTCCTCCACCACTCTCTCCACCACACTGACACTCCCATGGTGACTGTTGTAGGGCCCCTGGCCTCCTCCACCACTCTCTCCACCACACTGACACTCCCATGGTGACTGTTGTAGGGCCCCTGGCCTCCTCCACCACTCTCTCCACCACACTGACACTCCCATGGTGACTATTGTAGGGCCCCTGGCCTCCTCCACCACTCTCTCCACCACACTGACACTCCCATGGTGACTGTTCTAGGGCCCCCCGGCCTCCTCCACCACTCTCTCCACCACACTGACACTCACACTCCCATAGTGACTGTTGTAGGGACCCGGCCTTCTCCACCACACTGTCACTCCCATGGTGGCCCCGACCTCCTCCACTATCTCCACCACAGTCACACTCCCATGGTAACTGTTTTAGGGACCCCCGGCCTCCACCACTCTCTCCACCACAGTCACACTCCCATGGTAACTGTTGTAGGGGCCCCCGGCGTCCTTCACCACTCTCTCCACCCCCACTCTCACTCCCATGGTGACTGTTGTAGGACCCCGGCCAACTCCACCACTCTCTCCACCACACTGACACTCACATGGTGACTGTTGTAGGACCCCGGCCAACTCCACCACTCTCTCCACCACACTGACACTCCCATGGTGACTGTTGTAGGACCCCGGCCTCCTCCACCACAGTCACACTCCCATGGTAACTGTTGTAGGGGCCCCCGGCGTCCTCCACCACTCTCTCCACCCCCACTCTCACTCCCATGGTAACTGTTGTTGGGGCCCCCGGCCTCCTCCACCACAGTCACACTCCCATGGTAACTGTTGTAGGGCCCCGGCTTCCTCCACCACTCTCTCCACCACACTGACACTCCCATGGTGACTGTTGTAGGGGTCCCCGGCTTCCTCCACCACTCTCTCCACCACACTGACACTCCCATGGTGACTGTTGTAGGTCCCCGGCCTCCTCCACCACTCTCTCCACCACACTGACACTCCCATGGTGACTGTTGTAGGGTCCCCGGCCTCCTCCACCACTCTCTCCACCACACTGACACTCCCATGGTGACTGTTGTAGGGCCCCCGGCCTCCTCCACCACTCTCTCCACCACACTGACACTCCCATGGTGACTGTTGTAGGGCCCCTGGCCTCCTCCACCACTCTCTCCACCACACTGACACTCCCATGGTGACTGTTGTAGGGGCCCCCGGCCTCCTCCACCACTCTCTCCACCACACTGACACTCCCATGGTGACTGTTGTAGGGTCCCCGGCCTCCTCCACCACTCTCTCCACCACACTGACACTCCCATGGTGACTGTTGTAGGGTCCCCTGGCCTCCTCCACCACTCTCTCCACCACACTGACACTCCCATGGTGACTGTTGTAGGTCCCCGGCCTCCTCCACCACTCTCTCCACCACACTGTCACTCACACTCCCATGGTGACTGTTGTAGGTCCCCGGCCTCCTCCACCACTCTCTCCACCACACTGACACTCCCATGGTGACTGTTGTAGGGCCCCCGGCCTCCTCCACCACTCTCTCCACCACACTGACACTCCCATGGTGACTGTTGTAGGGCCCCTGGCCTCCTCCACCACTCTCTCCACCACACTGTCACTCACACTCCCATGGTGACTGTTGTAGGGCCCCTGGCCTCCTCCACCACTCTCTCCACCACACTGTCACTCACACTCCCATGGTGACTGTTGTAGGTCCCCGGCCTCCTCCACCACTCTCTCCACCACACTGTCACTCCCATGGTGACTGTTGTAGGGTCCCCGGCCTCCTCCACCACTC